AATATTAAAAAATTATATTTATTTAACATTAATTTTATATTAATAATAATAATTATTATTATTATTATTATTTTATTAATATCAATTTAATAATCCATTCAATTTTAAAAATATTACTTTTTATTTAACACATCACGGCATAAACCCTAAACCCTTAAAAAAGAAAAACAAAACATATCAGAGACTACCCTAGCGACGGTTTGTTTGGTGTCAAGAATAACCATCACTCTGCATTTGATACTCCCACATACCTCAATGAATTCTTGATTAATCCAACAAATTATGCTTCATTTAATTAATATTCTCAAAAATTCAAACTTGAATGAATTCCTCGTTTGGCGTGTAATTAAAATCGCAAAACCATGTTAACCAATCACCAAATCGTATAAACCAAGGAATTTGCCTTTCACATTCTCTCTCACCCATTCTCAACCTCGCCAAAGGGTTTAATTCGGTTCCTTTTCTTTTTCCTCTCACATATGGCGCGTTTGTGTTTACACTTTTCCTTCTTTTCATTTTTCGTTGCAGTTTCGACGGTGGTTCACGTGAAGCAAAACGCTGCGTTGAGGGAAGCGCAGAAGAAGAAGTAGTCGCCGGTTGGTATGGCGCGGAAGAAGAGCAGTGGCCACAGAAAGATTCCTAAGCGCCAGCGGCAGCGCATGGTGTAGTTTTAATCACTGTCATTGCTGTTATTCCTCTCCTTTAAATTTTTTTAGTGAATAGTTTGAGTTTGAGTCTCAGTTTTGTGTAATTAATGCCTTGCATGTTACTGTATTATTCTGCATGCTACAGGAATGGTGGATTGAAAGCCCTGTGAAAAAAATTAATTAGCAAAAGCCCTTAGTTTTTGTATGGAGATAGATAGATAGTTCATGTTGAATAATAATAATAATAATAAAAGGTTAAATTAATCGGTAGGTCCCTAAACTTTTTGCAAAATTTTATTTAAGTATCCAATTTTAAAAAATTTGCAATTGGGTACTTTATCTCGTAAACTTTTTTATTTTCAATTGGGTCCTTAGGATTTGTAAGTCTACCGTAAATTGTCATTTTCGGGTTGTTTCAAGTTGCCAAAAACTAATATGAGGAACCCAATTGCAAAAAAATTACAAGATCGATGACCTAATTGCTTTTTTTGTTTGTTTGAGGACCCAATTAAAAATTCCAAATAGTTTAGGGACATAATAGCTTGAAACTTGGAATTTAAGGTAATATGAATTGGTTTGAAATACTAGAGTTTATGGAAAACTTTAAATGGGATATTGCTTCTTTGGTTCTTTATGTGGTTTTATGGATGGTCTAAATATTATTAACTTCTATGTGTAATTGTGCATGAATCTTGTGGTTGTTTTATTTTTGGGTTTCTATGTGATTTTCTGGTCTTTCCAGTTTTTTTACAGGATGCTTTTGGTAGTTCATTCTCACACTTAGTGTGTTTTAATGTTCTCCTTCATCATTGTATTACACGTACCATGTAATGCTTATTGTTGAACTATTGATGACTGTATAGTTGAGACTGAATATTTTTCTTTGTTGATTTTGCTATGCTTGCAAGGAACAAGTTTCCTTAGAAGTTGATGGGTTGCATGCATCTATGTATAATTTGTACTGGATTTTCTGTGTGTTATTATATTGATATTTATGATTTATTCCTGTGGTTTCATCATCTGATTTTAGTTTATGCATTAAAAATGAGGGGTTTAATGTGTGCTGATTCTACATGTTGAGTTGGGCTTCGCTCATTTTCAACTCAAACTTCTGATCCTAATGCATCCTATTACTAACAACAACACATGTCTTGTGCATAAATACGTTTTTTTTCCTTCTGATCACACATAACTCATTTACTTTGTTTGTACCTTTTTTCCTGAATGTTATTGTCATTCACATGGCAAACAAACAATTTATACTGAACTCTCACTTCTATAATCATGTTCTGAAGATAATCTACATTGTTCATTTTGTGCTAATTGCAGATGGCAGATAAAGATCAGAATAAAGGAAAGGCTTCTGAGAGTTATCCCACAAAACGACGTAGTATACGTCTACCACAGACAAGATCTCGAATTCTGCAATTTGCTTCATCACATACAGTGTCACATCCTTCTGATCCATCTGCCAAGACATCTGATGTGTCACCTCCGGCTTCAATACAAGGGGTACACACACCATGTACTTTACACCCAATAAATTCAGATGCAGGATGCACCCGCATCTTAAGATCATCTGTTGCATTAGAGAAACAAATATCTTGTCCTTCACATCCACCTACTGGGACATCTGGTGTGTCACCTGCACCTTCAATACAAGGGCTACACTCACCATGTACTTCACAACCAACAAATTCAGATGAAGGTCGCACCCTTAGATCATTTGTTGCATTAGAGACACACAACAATGATGGAAAGCCAATTCTAAACCTTGATGGACAAGGGTATATGTTCTATTTTGTCACTTATTTGACCTTTTTTTTATTTTTTTTATTTGTGACCATTTAAATGTAATGTTTGCAGATTCTTACCTTCACGACTTGCTGCTAATGGGATTGTTGAGATCCTTAAGAGACATTTCACTGATCCCTGGACAACATGGAAGAAGATACCAATTAGCACAAGAGACATGTGGTTTAAAGAGTTTTTGGTTAAGTTTCATTTGTTACTTTTTACATTAATTTAATTTGGATGTATATTTATTCTACTTTTAGTTAACTTGTTTGCTTCTATATACAGGGAAAGTTTTCTATTAATCCACCGGATTATAATTGGGCAAAAAGGAATTTTGAAATGCGAGGTTCAGTATTGATGACAAGTAATCTAAGTAAGGTTCGGTCCACAACGGATAAGCCAAGTTGGATTAAAGATGTTGTATGGGAGAGATTATGTGAGTATTGGAGTTCTGAAGGATTCAAAAATAAGAGCACCCAAGCAAAAACAAATCGGGCATCTTATAATGGAGCATCTCACACTGGCGGCTCTATTTCCGCATCTCAGCACAGAGCTAATATGGTTAAGTTGTCACTTCATATAATTTATTGTGTTGTTTATCTCATATGAGTTAGTGTAATAATCTCTTAATTTAACTTCAAATCTAACAAGTTCCTAACTTGTATTCTTTTTTCTATTTTAGATGAAAGAGACCGGAGTGCCTCCTACTCCATTGGAGTTGTTTCGTCGAACGCACCAACATAAGGATAACACATGGGTGGATAGGAGATCACAACGTCTAAATGTAATGATCAGCTCTCACCTTTATAAGCACGTAGTAGTTTATGATGTTGTTTTACTCTACTTTGGTTTGTTTTGAAACACTTATTGAACTCATATTAATGATGGCAGGAGACAGTGACACGTACATTGGAACAATTGACCAAAAGAGCATTTGCGGAAGGAAATCCTCCACCAAGTGAGTTAGATGTGTGGTGTAATGTAGCTCGTACAAAGAAAGGTAAAGTATTTGGGCTTGGAATGGAATCTAGAGTAGTTGCTGGAGGGCCATGCTGTCATGCCTCATCTTCTTCATCATCAATGGAGTGGGTGAAAAAGGGCGAGTTCGATGAATTGAGAAAAGAGATGGAAGGAATTAGAAATGAAAGAGATGAGCTTCAGACCAAGGTTGCAAATACTGAGAGGCTTATTCAGCAGAACAATGCATTGATACGACAATTAATGGAAAGCATGAACCATCAGGCCATGCCATCTGTCTGCCATAGAGGAAAGTCAAGAAGAAGAGGATGACAGAACCATAGTGACTCATAGATACTTGTTGTGTCTCATATGACAAGTTTTTTTTTGCTAGTTTGGTTATGTATTCATATATTTTCTTTTTAAATATCTTACTTTACGTATTCATATATATATATTTTGTTACATATGTCTATCAGGTTCACATATACATATTATGAGGTTCAAAAAATAGAAGTTGAATATATTTTAAATGATTTCCCCCCTAGATTACAAAATAATGACTCATTTAGCTATATTTTTTTTAAATAACTAATAAATTGATAGTTAAATTAGTTGCTAAATTCGGTTACTAAATTGGTCAATATATCTATCTCTAAACCAAATAATTCTAGTAGATCACTAATTTGATAAACTCAGTGTGTGCCTCTGTAATCTATTGAGTTGCCAAAAAATCTCTGTGGCTTGTCTCAGTATCAATCCAATGGCTGGGATTTCTCCAATAGCCCAAGGAAGCAACAGTTATGCAGGTGGGTGCAGTCTCATTGTTTCTTTGATGACACATTTTAAGTACATCAATAGGTACAAGTCTATCTCATCCACATGCCCTTTGCTATTATACACCCTTTCACCTCAGCTTCTCTGCTTTATTCACCACCTTTATATTTTTTTACCATTTTGTACATAACTAGAAATTAAATCGTATTATTTCCTTTTGGCAAGTTCTTTAACACATACAGAAGGTATAAATTTATTTAAAAACAGAAAGGGGTAATAACTAATTTTGATTTAAGTTAGCAATGGTTAATATCTCTTTTGGTAAGTTATCAAAATCTTACAATTTATGATTCGAATGTTACGATTCGACAATCTACCGATTTATATCTTAAGATGAATCTAAAATGATATTGTATCTTACGATATATTGATAAATTTATGTAATTCCGTATCATTGATACGATCATACGAACCATGTGATTCAATAATTCTTCATCATCATTATTATTATTATTATTATTATTATTATTATTATTATTGTTATTATTGTTATTATTATTATACTTTTCTTTCATCAAATCTAATAAAATATTGAAAAGTCATATAAACTTAAATCGTTAAATAAAAAGGATTATAAATTTATCCTATTTGATTATTCCATAACTCAAATTCATTCAAATTATCTATTTAACTATTTACTTGCTTCATTTCCATAACTCGGATACAACTAATAATTTTGTTCTATTTACTTATGCTTAATAATTTTGTTCTATTTACTTGTGCTTAAGTTGTTTTTATCTATTTCTAATTAAAAAAATTTACGTTGATCATTATATATCATTATGATATGTTTAAAGTAATTTTTTTTGTTGTCTTTGAATCTTATGATTTGTTACAAATTATGATTCATGATTCAGAATTAGTTTGACGATTCAATATTTGGTAACCTTAAGTGCATGTACCTAAAACAGTTTTTATGGAATGGCTTCCAACTAATCTCAATCGGATAACTATATTAATGTGCTCCGTATCTACAATGATGTTATGAATAATAATTGATGACTTAATTATTTGTGCATGTCCATATTTGTTATATATTATTATTATTATTTATATTTTTGTTATGTATTATTTCCTTTTCATGTGATTATTCAACTATCATATGTATTTATAAATATGCTAGCTAGCCCTCTCACAAAAATAACATACTAGTTATATTCTTTTCTCTATCTCTCTCATATTATTTTATTTGTTTTCTTTGTTATTATCTTTCATTTTATAATACGTTATTAGCACGATAATCTTTCTTTTCCATTGGTATTGCAACCTACAAGACAAATATTTCAAGACTAGTTATTCATCTTCTATAACATATTTTTTTATATCAAATATTTGTATTCTTAACATTATTATGAACCAAAATAATTTTGATGACACTATAGTAGTCTTAAAGACATTATTAAATAAAGAAACATGTTTTTTTTCCTCTCACCAGAAGTGAGAAATATCAATGATTCATTGATGTAATATATTTTGCATATTACATATATTTATTCTGCCATTATGCATATTATTCTATCTTTAATTATATTCTCCATATTATGTATTTGATAAGATATTTGTATTATTTACATAATTGTGAAATTTATTTAAATACAATTGGTCTTGAAGACAAAATCAAGAAAATATGTTAGAAGAATATTTTTTCAATGATCTAGAAGACATTGTCAAATAAAAAAAATTTAAGAATATTTTTCTACCAGAAATGAGAAAATGGTGTAAAAATGAAAACAAAAGAATAATTTTTCTCCCTAGAAGTGAGTAAATAATACGAAAAGTGAAATATTATTCATAGATAGTGACCAGACAAACCACATAACCAACGACCATAAGTTCTTCAAAGAGTTAGACAAAACAATTGTTTTCAAAGTAAAAATTGAAAATGGTGATTTCATCTTAGTCATGGGAAAAGGAACTATTGCTATTGAAAGTTTGGCAAGTATGAAACATATCCCAGATGTTTTATATGTGCTTGAAATTGGCCAAAATTCGCTTAGTGTTGCACAATTAGTAGAAAAAGACTTCAAAGTCATATTTGAAGACAATTGGTACTTGATCAAAGATGCAAAAGGTGAAGATGTGTTTAGGGTGAAAACGAGAGCTAAAATTTATGCTCTAAATCTTATGAAGGAGGGGCAAATAGTTTTTTCAAGCACAACCACCTATGCTAATCTATGGCATAAAGACTTGGACATTTTCACCTTTTTGGATTATTATACATGCAGAAACATGCCTTGGTGAAAGGTGTCTCGATGCTTGAAGACAAGTTGTTTGATTGTTTGGCTTGCCAATATGGTAAACTAGTTCAAAAACCATTTCCTCCGACATCTTGGAGAGCAACTAAAAGGTTGCAACTAGTTCACACAAAAATGTTGGTGAACCTCAAAGAGTCTTTAAATGATAATAAATACTATATTATTTTTATTGATGATTATGTCATATATTGTTGGATTTATTTTTTTAAATATAAGACTATAAGAAAAATCAGTATTATCAATGGAAGAAATCCGTAGGTAATAAGCTCATAGATAACATTATTTACGGAAAATTTCGTATGTAACGTTACCTACAATTTTTTTTTTAATTTTAATAAATTTATTAATTTAATAACCCTCATATTGGGCCTCTCAAGGATGCTATTTCATGACACTTCACTTTTTAACGTGTTTTGTCCTTACTGCACATTTTCTGGGAGACTTCCCAGAAGGTCAACCATCCTTGTACTACTCCAGCTCAAGCACGTTTAACTATGGAGTTCTGATGAAATGGACTACAGAAAAACTAATGCATGTTATCAATATAAGTAATACAAATTAATTCATTTAAGTCATTCTCAACTATACAATCTCATACTTATACTATTTTTGGATCCCTCTCATTTTGGTATGTCCAAACTGCTATAAAAATATAAAAATATATATAATAATTATATTACCAATAATAATAATTATATTATATTTAATTAATCTTTATATATATATATATACTTGTATAATTAACAATCTACT